TTTTTTATATTGAATGCATTAGCGCTATCAGTGCATGGTGGAAATAGAAATGCACAGCGCAAAATGTTTTTTGTCGTCATTTTGGGTTGTCTCTCATTAAATTATTACTACAGACACAGAAAAGATGTATAATAATTCAATAATTAAAAAATTCAATCATCGTTTTTGAAAAAATGTTGGCTCCAAACTGTTATCAACTCACTATAACCTGGAATACAATTTCTTGCTGGACACATGAATTCTGAGTATTTTCATACACAAGTAGTAACCTTAAACAGTTCAATTTATAAAAACAAATTAAATTTACTTGATATACCGGTAGATTGTGTAATGTATACAGTTCTTACTGATAGAAAATATGAGTTTAAGAAACTAATATCTGTGTATGATAAACAAAGGTTATCCAAATCATTACTCTCATGTAGAGTTATATTTACATATCAAGTTGTAAAATGTCTTGATCTCCTGCAGTCGAGAATAGACATTTTTCATCATAGTTTGACGTCTTTCTCGTTCTCAGGAAATACATTACAATTAAGTCAAGAGAACAGAGGCAAAAGTACAAAGACGACTTCAATGCCGAGTATGACCAGTATAGGAAACTACACAACAAAGTTGACAGAATTACCAAGAAATTTATTGAGCTGCAAAACTTGATGGAACAGACTGCTGAACACAGTGATAACTATGAAAGTATCAAAACCAAAGTGATTGAGGAGTACCAGCTTATTAAAAAGGTGGGTGACTGAATATTCGTGAAAGATTTCAACGAATTTATCTATTTCTACAAACATTTTGATGAACACCCATATTCAATAGAAAATTATATGTACTCCAAGGTAAACTGAGAAATTGTAAAAAAATAAAAAAAATAAAAATACTTGTACACAAAATGTTGCAGCCAAATGAATGCTGTTCAAAATGGTTCAACATGTGTCATCTTTGATATGGCCCCTTAACAGCGTAAATTACGCATTAATCCTATGAACGCCAAATTTGTTCATGCTTAAATTTGCATAAATTTATTAACATTTACTGTAATTTTCACTGAATTTTAATTTTGGACAAAAGTTGCATTGTTTCTAGTTTTTTTCTAACTTTCGCAACATTTTATGTAGAAAACTATTTTGTGGATGGTGGCTGTAGTTGACTTTGGCACTCAAAAAGTTAACATTGCCGTTTTACCAAAAATAATAGCACTTACCATATCTTTTTGCACAATTTTATGTGCTTTTCTGTGAATTATTCATGAAATTTGAACCAAACAAAAATAATTTCTCATTCGCTATAGATCTTGATTTATTTTATCTTGGTTTATTTTCTTACATATAAACTTATTCACTGCATTTGTTTCCGCAGGAGCATCCTGATTTTCAGGAAGAAAAGAAGGATTGCCAGACAATACACTTAAAACTCGCACACATAAAGAAATTGATTGTGGAATATGACCAGTCACAGTTGAAGGAGACATCCACTACGACGTAGTACATACTCCCATGTTATATCTTCATCTTAAGTGCAATTAGGGACAAAGACTTACAGATTTAACGATTCAGATCAAATATTAATTAATAAATAATTATGCATGCTAATTTCCTCATGTTATATTTCTTGCAAAGACTTTTGTTTTTCACTGATGCAATATTCCTGGTTCTGGCCATCCAATTTCATTGATGTTCTTGTCAACTTCCAAAACTGTGTACACCCGTGTGGGTTGTGGTTTAGGTTTCAATGTAAGGTTAATAAGCACACGTCCTTTTGTTGGTTTCACATGGTTATTTATTGGTTTCACTGTTTACAAAGTTTATTGGAATAAATGTTGGCCAATTATCATCCACAAAATATTTGCAACAGCAAATCTCGTTGGATAGTAATTTGATTGTCATCCTTACTAAATTTGTGACAGCAAATCTGATTGGATGTCAGCCCAATTGTCATTCTCACTAGATATTCTGATTAGCCCAATTATCATCCATGCAGTACACTCAGTATGTGACAGCAAATCTGATTGGATATTATGTCCATTGTCATCCATAACAGCAAATCTGATTGGATGTTAGCCCAATTGTCATTCTCACTAGATATTCTGATTAGCCCAATTATCATCCATGCAGCACACTCGGTATGTGACAGCAAATCTGATTGGATAATATGGCCATTGTCATCCATAACAGCAAATCTGATTGGATGTTGGTTTAATTGTCATTCTCATTAGTTGTGTGACAGAAAATCTGATTGGGTGGTACCCAAATTTTCATTCTTGCTTGCTATATGGCAACAAATTCGATTGGATGTTGGATCGATTGTCATATCTGCAGCAAACTCAATTCACAGTTAGCCATTCCTTCTTTCTATTATGTGATACTAATAGATGCATAGCCCACTCCCCCTTGTCTCCCCTTCCTCCCCTTGACTTCCTTGACACTTTTGCATATCGATATAAAAAGTATTTATTTTATGTAATAATAACTAAAGTATATGTTTGTTGAATGTTGGTATATGCAAAATGAATTGAAATATTAATTTCTGAAGAACAAAAACAGAATTTTTTTTTCTCGCAATGATACATTTGTGGTGACACATTAAATCTGTTAATATTTAATAGTGGGAGGGTTGTTCCAAAAGTTAGGGAGCTAATCACACTGAATTTCTTTTAATTGTCCCTCTCTTTGAGTGCTGTATCCAAAACAAATTCTACTAAACCTATACCAGATTCATATTTGCTTCCAGTTATCTACTGGTTGTGAAATAAGTCTTTGCCAGTGATGCGAGTTAACATGCACCTAGTCTCAATGATAACAATAAATAGGCTTTAAAATAATAAGTAATAAAAGTATTACATATTTTGCTCTACCTTGATTTGTTTGTTTTCAAAATAAATTTTGATCAAAAATAATTATCGTTTAATCAACAGTTAAAAGTAGAGAAAATTATTTTGCGGAATTCATGTACTAAAATTTCAAAATTAAAACAAAAGAAATATTTATTTGACCTATTATGATGAATTCAAATTTGTTCTAAAACACTCTAAAATTGGCCAGTATTCTGTCAGTGCTTAGTGACTCTTGTGTCGTTGCAGTCGACTTGCCAAAATTGCATGCTGTTTTTTTTTATCTGACAAATTTTACTTATTTACACGTATATTTCGTTTGATGTTGAGCAAAAAGGTGCAACACTAATGACTTTTTTTTGATAGATCAAATCTTAGGTACACAAAGTTGTAAAAGATGTATTTTTATTTTATTTTTGTTGTTGTCATTGTTACCATTCCACTGATCTTGATGATTTTTGTATGTGCCTCCTGGCTAAGCCTACATCCTGTGAGAATGAACCTGCTTGACTGCTAAGGGTCACACATTCTGGCACTTCTGACCCCTGACCCCTGAAGGTCAGATCTCTGGACTGTACACAAAGTGGACATATATTTGTTGCCAAATGTTTTGTGGAATTGTTTTCAATGGTGTTTATTTTGAAGAAAATGGAACCTTCAATTTGAAATATAAACTTTTTTTTACTTTAGCTGGTATGCAAAGACTGATCTACCAAGTATAGTTTCACTGTTGTGATGTCGATCACATGAAACTGAAAAAAAAAGTGTATGTTATTTACAAAGATACCTGCCTGACATTTTGTGAAAGAAAGAGAGAGAGAGAGAGTAAAAAAGTACTTTTTGAATTTACTGACAAAATACTGGATTTATTGACCATTGCTACGGAAACTGACTTATGGATTTTTACTCATTCTAGCATATTTTTGGAGCAGTGACAGATCAGCTAATGTGAATGTCGCCCTCTGGCGGCCATTGTATCACCACTTTTGTTTTATACGACAACTCTGCAGCTGTCACTCATGGTATAGTCCTCCAAATATACTGCAAAATGCGCATAGTTATTTTAACCTTCATTTTAAAGGTGGTATGTATTTTTATTTATCTTCTCTGGTGCTGCTAGCAGGAAAAAAAGTTCTATTAACGTTGCTTCTCAAAACGTGAACAACACGTAACACATTTAATGAATTCTCAATTTAGTAACTTGAGGGCATACACCCTAACTAAGGAAATCCAATGGAATTTACACTGACAGAATTTAGTAATGTAAGGCAGTTTACAGTATTGATAAGATTTCAATACCGACATGTCTGATTACATGAAATTCAAATCTGTACTACACTAAGATGGCTACCATTTAAATTACTGTAAAATACTTTATTTTTGCTTGGAATGAATTTTTGCTAAAGGAGTGATTCAGTGAAAATAAAATCCAGCGAATATACATTTTTTCCAACATTCAATCAGTGAAAATAAATTACACACAAAACACCCAAAAAGTCTTTTCAGCGAAAATTAATTCCAGCTAAAATAAAGTATTTTACAGTATATAAAAACATCATGGCTGAAGAGTGAATCTGACAAATAATTGTATTTCCTCCTCCATGTGCTTCACAGGCTAGAGTGAGTAATGATAAACTATGAATTGGAGCTAGAATATGTGAACTTTTTATTCTAATAATAAAAGTTTTTATACAAGAAACAATATTCTAACCAAACTTCAGTGTTTTGACTGTTATATATATGTATGTGTACACGCACTGAGTTCATTGATGGAAAGAAAGATTGGTGCACTGTATTACCTATTTCAAGAAACATTAGAATTAATTGAACAGAATTTTGTAACAAGAGTGAAATGTGTTGTAATTTATTTTTTAAGGGGGATGCAAGATAGATGTGGTACTTGGCCTTAATTTGTCTTGAAAATTATCAAAACCCGTTGAAAAGCTGGCATACATGGTTCACTTTGTTATTAAAGTTGACATGAACACTGTTGTTCTTGTGGTCTTGAATAAAATTATTGTTGCGTGTGTTTGATCTGCAACAAAAGAAAAACAAAGATCTTGGAGTTTTAATTTTAAATAGCGACTTTAATGGATCATCTTGGAAATATCAACATCTTATGTTAAGACTTGAAGAGTGTTTTTGATTCTTTTACTTTGTAAAATTATTTGATTTACATTAAGATTTAAAACAAATGTCCAGTTGCCACTGAGAGAAAAAGAAAAAAAAAGTTATTTTAGCAAATTATATTTTCATCATTTTAATAGTATAAATTTACATAATTTACCTTGGATGGGGTGAAATACGCTGCCAAGCACCAGGTGTGTTAAATCATATCCCCTTTTCATATGTAACAGAGAAATGTGACACAAGTGACTATGGTTTTCTCAGTAAACAATGTTGCTGGTTTCATCTGGCATATCACGTCATTTTCACAGTGCCCTGGGGAGGTGTGCATTTTTTCAAATTGGCTCTCAGTTTACTATCTTTAATTTTATCTTCTCTGCCCAGTCGTTTTAGCTGAGCTATTAATAAAAGGACTAAATAAAGTCATTCTGCAACCATACTGCATTTTGTTCTGTTATTTCTTGGCGGGGCGGGGCGGGGCGGGGCGGGGCGGGGCTGGGTGAGGGATACTCTTTCTTCAGATGTCAAACATATGAAATCAACCAGTCACTGGTAGCAGTTGCTGCATCAAACTTATGATGACCCAAGTTCATATCCTACCTTGGGCTGAACACCAAAAAGGGTTCACCATTATCCTGGGTGAGTGTGCCACAGACTAAATGGGAAGGTCAATTCCACTGGCCAAGATTCATTCACTAACATGTGCGACTTTGGGAGGGAACCTTAGTTAATGTCTGCAGGTGCTCGTGTCCGACCGAGCCTGGTTGACGCTAGGATAGCGCATTAAATTGTCATTGATAGAGTGATTGGTCCTGTCGTGTTGTCGCAAACATGAACAAGGCTTCTGTGGCAAACATTTTTAGCACTTGCAATTTGCACATCAAAAAACGTCTGGAGAGACAACAGTGACATTCAATGCATAAAACGGTTGCCTGGCACAAAAATACACCTAGCTATGTGTTGGGTAGATACGATTTCAGTATATTCTCATGAACTAGTCAGAAAGACAATCATCAAAAGTTTTAGAAAGAGTGCATGGAGCTTCGGCTTCTATAACAAGATTACTTGAGTTTCTGTAATGAAATTTGGCACACTGATTGGTATACAAGTGTCTTATTTTGAGGTAAATTGATACCAGAACACCATGCTTCAACTTGTTACTCTTCCGACTGTCATTTTTACCAAAGTGCCCTCCAGAGATGATAGATTGCACATGCTAACATATTTTTTGTTAAAGGGCGGTAGTCTTCGTGCCGCGTCCTGTTCGATATGGGACTCATAGCGACGTATACAACGCGTGTGAAATACATTGTTTATTTACATGAAATTCGAACACTCGCTGCGCGACGACCACCGCGTTTTAATCTCGCAGAAACCTGAGAATGAGACCTAATGTATTTAAATCGCTGTTGTGGCAATGTAACACTTCCCCTATTTCTTCACAAGATGCTGTCTTCCTGATCAGTTTTTTTTTTTTTTAAATTAACACTAGGAGGCGCTATTCACATTATCGTCTTGGAAACTACGTGAAATTTTTTTTTCTTTTCCCAATTATCAGACAATTTTGGCCATGTTTCCCCGTCAATATCGCCGCTGCTTTCTGTTCAGTGGAAATTGCTTTAATAATACGATGAGCAAAATACTGAAATTGGCTTCGAAATTATGGAAGGGGTAATATGATTGAGCATTCTGAAATCTGCTCGTCACAGTAGCGCAGTGATAAGAGACTGGAACAGAGTCTGTGATTTTACGTTCAACCCAATAATGTATAATACTTTGTTGAAGCTGGAATTAATTGTAGCTGTCTTGTAGAAAGTTTTTTTTACTGATTCGTCTTCTCGGCAAGAAAAGCGAAAATAAATTCCAAGTGAAAATAAAATACGTCAATAACCATTACATTGACAAAATAATTTTTGATGAATAAGTATTTTTTTGTATATTCAGCAAGACTTTATTGGTATCACTTCTCTGAAGATTACATTTCGTAGCTTACAGTCGCACAGTATGGTATGGTACTAGTATATAATAAATCATAGTGCTAAAATCGCGCCCTCTAGTGTCGAAGCCCTTCTATGACATGCTAGTAAATTGGTGACACGACGAAATAGTCAAAAAAATAGTTCAAATAATCGACTTCGTTTCGATCATCCATTATTGAAGATTGTTTTTTTTAAATACTTTACATTTTAGATGACGAAAGGCTGCACAGCCAAAAATAGGTCGATTTGAACGACTTTGCCTTCACTCGTGTACGTCATGACATGATTTGACTCGTTACAAGAATTTGTGAACAACCAACTTGAAGTTGCATTCCGATTGGCTTGACTGTTAGAAGCTGTGGGCCAATCAGGCATAGTTTTGTAAGTCACTCCATTCTGATTCCACAGAAGCGTTCCATCACTAGAAAGCGGTATTAATGGGTTTTCGCCTGAAATATTAGTTTATTAAACATTATTATTGTCATTATATAGTTCGTGTTCTGTTTTTTTTCGCTATTCATGGAGTATCAAGTTTGTAGTGCAAAGGGTAACCTGGAGGGACGTCCGTGGGTGATACTGGTTATTACATCCCGCCATGATTGTGTAAAAGAACCCGGGGCACAGAAATTGGCTAAATTATAATCTGCGATCCGTTCATTGAAATGATCTAATGGGGGCGATCATGATCTTGACTCTGACGGCAACGTGTCAAATACAAATGTACCATTATTTTTTAAGGCTGTCACAATGGCCAAATTTGAAGATATTAGACAATGAGAACGTGTGCTCCCTTAAGTTTATTCCTAAACACATCAATAACCGGAATAACTAGAATGGAATGTACCGAGAAATCCATATCACTATATCGATTGGCTGTATAGCAAATAATTGAATGGATTACACACCATGTTCACCACGACGGTGCATCCCGGAACAATAGTGACAACGTGATATTCATGCCAATCATTCATTTTTCGATTGTTCACTTCGTAACAAAGACTGGCAGTAATTCAAATAAATGAGAGAATCGCTTATTATGATGTTCAGTGTGTTATGGACGGGTACAATCTAACACACTAATGGGGGATTTTTATCGATGTGACAGATTTTGTTTTTCGTAAACTTTTTTTAAGATGCTGACACTCAAGTAGCCGACATCACCAAATGAGTCCTCACGCGAATTGCACCCAGATTTGTACCGGAAATGAAACTACGTGCAGAAAAAAATCCCCGAGATTATTTTTCGCATGTTTGTAATTTATGTCGTCAAACGTCCCAGATTTAGGGTATTATGATATCGGCAAAGAAGTGTTAAGTAATGATGGATTCGCGTGCACATATACTGCGAGTGTGATAAAGGCACTCACTGATATTACCCTAGGGCATGATATCACTGCCTTTGTCTACAATTTCATTATAGCCATACACGTTTGACACTTTTTAAACATGGAAATCGTACATATCGAGGCTATAAGCAAAATTGACGAAATCTCAAGAGAATTGGAGCCATAATGAAGATATAAAACACGGTGCTTGTTCCAGTCCTGGATTTCGGTCTGATTAGCGTGATTACGAAAACGGACGGGATTTGGAAAAGTAGTTTGAGCGAGGTGCCACATCGGTCTCTAGATTGTTATTACATTTCCATAAACATCCATCAAATCTTACCCTCTTCTGTCCCCGTTATTTCGCATCCCACTCCTCAAATACTGCATCTCTTTTTTTCGTCTCTTAGCAACTGCGGATTATCCTTCATCACAGGTGATGATGTTTGGCCAAGAGTTGAGAGAGTTGAAAGCGCATGGATGTGTTCTCAGATTATTCGACGAATATCCTGCCATTGCCATAGAAACGGCTAAAGACAAAGCTGAGTCGTAACAAATTGTGTAAATAGAACTTGAAAGTGAAGTATTAGAGTCAAACAAGGACACGTCATTAACGTTGCACACAATGCATTGATGCGTGCAGATACAGTCTGTTTATCGACAATGCTCTGTAAGCTACCAGTATTGGGGCGACGGTACAAGGCCTCGCTCCACAACACATTCCCCCTGTTTTGTTTTCACCCCGGGATTTATCAAATAATTAGTTCAACACAATGACATTGTCATATTATCAGTGTATATGTATTATATATGGTCGCCTCGGATTCATTTTATGAAAATATAAAAATTTTGAGGGAGATCTCAGTTTTGTCAACTATTTGGGTAGCACGCGGCGTCTGTCCAACCATGGAGCTAAAAAGGGATCTCTTTTTACCCCCGTGGTCCAACTGAAACAGTCTGCCGTAATCAATTTGCGATATAACGTGTATATGGTATAATCGCGCGATTTGGTCCAGTTCAGATGACGTCATCATCATGGATAGAGAACAATAATTCAGATGAAATGATCTCCCAACTTCAAAACCATATCAAGAATTTGTGACCAAAAATAACACTTCATAGCGAGTAGCCGAAGACAAGACAAACACAATTGGAAAGAGTCTGTCTCTCTGTAATAATTAATAATAATAATAATAATAATAATAATAATAATAATGTATCATATGTCTAACCACAGACTTTTATCTAGTGTCTTTGGTCTAACATTATCTATGCAATAGTCAGAGTGTAATTTCCGGTGAAATAGTCAAATGTATTGGCACTTTAATAAAACGAGGTTAAATTGGAATATAAATCACAAACCAAAATTGGTTGGTAGACGCATTCCTAGATTATGACGTAATGGCGGTTCAATATACGGACGAGTATATTTATAATCTTGATCCGATCATAGCAGGTTTGTAATACACGTTGTATTGATCAGTATCGTAGTATTTTAAACACAGATTTCTCCGTAAGTAATGAAAAAAAGGCGAAGTATGTGGACACGGAGTTCCCAGCTCTAAAGATATAGTAGCAGTCGTAATATGCATTATGATGTTTATATGAAATTAATATAGGTCGACATTAGAGGTTAATCTGAAACCCGATCGACTGGATATTGTAATGTGAGATGGATTCGGGGCAAGCATCGTAAAAACAGAATTTTATTTTTGTCTATAACTGAAATATATCCGATATTGGCAACTAATGACGTCATCGAGCCTGGGTGACTGTCTATACCAAGATGACAAAGAAAGTACAAATATTCGTTGCCAACCATGAATTACCCTCTGATGGTAAGCGTTGAGCTGTGAAACGTTTAATTAAGAGGCTGAGCATGTAGGGTGACTCGTATCAAAACACGCATTCATTTCCTACGCTGCTGTTACATACTGTTTACTTTCTCTTAGGATCATTAACGGGGTGATATTTAGTTACAGAGCGGGGCTTTCATTAGAAATTAAAAAGTGTGAACGAGTTTCCTACTGTGGTAAAAACGCACAACAAATCCGCTGTCTGACAAACACGCGACGATTTTTTGGTTAAAATTTCGTTTGCCATTTTGTGCTCAAATCACCATGGAAACAA